ACCCACCCATCTATCTGCCTACCCATCCATCCACTCACCCATACATCAACCTACCCACCCATCTATCTGCCTACCCATCCATCCACTCATCCATCCACCCACCCATTCATCTACCCATCCACCCATCCATCCATCTATCCACCCACCCATCCATCCACTCATCCATCCATCTATCCACCCACCCATCCATCCACCCATCCATCCACCCATCCATCTATCTTCCCACCCATCCATCCACTCATCCATCCATCCACCCATCCATCCATCCATCCACCCATCCACCCATCCATCCACCCACCCACCCATCCATCCACCCACCCACCCATCCATCCATCCACCCATCCATCCACCCATCCACCTTCCCACCCATCCATCCACTCACCCAGCCACCCACCATCCTTCCATCTGTACATAAGCACCCCATTTTTTTCCAGCCCAAAAGTGCTAGCTCAACAAGTCCATTTTAAGTTGCAGCACCAGGCCCCAGGGAAGCCAGGAGCCCCGCATCACTGGGCAGATCTGCAGCAGCCTGGTCTGGGTTTGCGGCTCCTCACCCTCCACTTTAGGGCTCTCACCTGCCCACACCCCCCACCTCCACCTGCACGGCTCATGCTGCAGGGGCCCTGGAGTGGCCGTACCGGCATAGATGACCATTCCATAGCAGGTGTCTGTGTTGCGGATCTTGCAGCCGCGGAGTAGGAGGTTGCCAATGTCCAGGGGGTACATCTTGCCATTCCACTCCAGACACCCCACGAATTGGTGCATTCTGCTGTTGGGCTCCTCACACGTCACCCGGCCTGTGGGCAGTGGGGTGGCCAGCAGGCCAGTGTCGTGGCTAGACTTGGGCCCTCCGTCCCGGCTGGACTCCCTGACACCACCCCTCTCTAATCAGTGCAGGCAGGGACATTCCTGTCACCTTCCGGCCCCAGACACCTTCATGGGCCCCCCAGTGCTCCAAAGTGACCCCTGTTCCTTCTGCCAGGACTCACACTTCCCTGATCCTCCAGCCAGATCAGCCCCCACCCAGCCCCCTCCCTCATGGTCCTGATCCTAGGATGTGGCTATTTGTGTGACCGCGTCATTAATGTCTGTGGGCTCCGTGAGAGCAGGCGCCAGCCTTGTCTTGGCCACACTGTGACCCAGGGTGCAGCCCAACACCTGGCATGTGGTAGGTGCTCAATAAGTGTGTGAAGTGGGAAGGAGTGGGCCAGGCGCAGTGGCTCACGCCTGTAATCCTAGCGCTCTGGGAGGCCAAGGTGGGTGGATCGTTTGAGCTCAGGAATTTGAGACTAGTCTGAGCAAGAGCAAGACCCCATCTCTTCTAAAAAAATAGAAAGAAATTAGCTGGACAACTAAAAATACACAGAAAAAAATTAGCTGGGCATCCTGGCGCATGCCTGTAGTCCCAGCTACTCGGGAGGCTGAGGCAGGAGGATCGCTTGAGCCCAGGAGTTTGAGGTTGCTGTGAGCTAGGCTGATGCCATGGCACTCTAGCCCGGGCAACAGAGTGAGACCCTATCTTGAAAAAAAAAAAAAAAAAGAGGGAAGGAATGAAGGGATGCCCACGTGGGGGTGGGCTCCCTGGCACCCTGCTGCTACTGCCCGCAATCACCCAGTTCCCCGTCGCCCTGCAACAGGGCATTGTCAGCCACGCTTCTTTGAGGAAGCAGGCTCGGGGTGCAAAGACCTGGCCCAGGGCAGTACTCGGTGAGTGCTAAAATGACCATGGGGTGCGGGCTGGGACTCCAGAAGGAGGAGGGGCCACAGGGTTCTTGAATGGTCCTTGCCTGCCTGCCCCATTCCGCCATAGGGATTGGGAACCTGACTTAGTCCTGCGTGTAGGAATCAGAAACATCTATGCTGGTATGAGTGGAGCTCTGACCCTCAGTCTCCTCCTCTGAGAAATGGGGTTCTGCCCTGTAGGAGTGCTGAGGCAGGTGGACCAGGCCAGGGCCTAGGGAGAGCCTCCTTGCCAAGCACCCTGGGGTTTTCCTGATCCAGTGGGAAATACCTCTCTCTCTGATCCTGTCCCTTCATGGGGTCACATGGTGGGGACCCAGTTCTGGGGCTACCATGACAATTAGAAGAGAGGATAGCTGTGGCTGCCTTCCACTGAAGCTAAGCGTTTTCCTAGACGTCAGGGACAGACAGGAAAAAGAAAAAAAAATGGTGCTTGGGTGTCAGGAGCAAGGAGGCTGTGGCCCAAGAAAAAGATTCTGCTCTCGAACCAATTAGAGTAGCTTGCCTTTGCAACAAGACAAGAAGAAAAAGCTGTCAACTTGCTTTTGCAACAAGACAAGAAAACAAAACAAAACTGTATCCCCCTTGCTGGGCTGCAGCAAACAGTAACTGTGTCCACACCACCTGTGGGAAACACTCCCAGGCAGAAAATAAGAAACTGCCAAGGGGTGGAGTGGGAATGGTGCCCTGTTCTTGCTGGCCTGTCCCGCCACGTGAGTCATTAACCCGGGCATGCGGGCTGCCTTTTCCACGAAATGATGACATGATCAAAAACATCTGTGCTACTGTTAAATTTAACACTGTTAAATAAAGTGCCGCAGCACATTTTGTAACAACAGTAACAACAACCAAAGATCCCAGCTTTTACCAGCTTTTGCCCTGATTCTGGGGACATGAAACAGAGGCCCAGGTGGGGTGAGCCGGATGGCCAACCCACACCAATGCCTCTCACCTTGGAAGGATGCCATCTTCCTTGTACTGGTCAGCTCCTGGTGGGTGACCATCAAGGCCTGTCTGAACTTCAAGTTGGTCTCCCTGGTGACAGGGAGGGCAGAGAGGAGAAGAGAAAGGTGAGAGGGAGAGGGGAGAGGTGTCTCCCTGGCGCGAGGAACCCCCAGCGCCCTTCCTCCAGAGTCATGCAAACATTTTCCCTGAGCATCTACTATGTGCCAGCTGCCAATCAGAAGACTGAGGCCCAGAGAGGGAGAGGACCTTGCCCAGGGCCACCCAGCATATTTGGCAATGTGCTGAGGCCTTGGCCTTCCCACCCTCAGGCACACACAGTAGGGCCTGCAGAAATGCTGGTGCAGTGAACAACCAAAGTATCTAAGAGGGGAGGGCTTGGCTGGCCGCCTCTGTGGCAACTGGCTCCTCTGGGCTGTGCGCCAAAGCACCCCAGGCACCCAATGACACAGCGGCTCCTTACCCGTCGATGTCCGCCGTCTCCACGTAGCACAGGCTGCTGGGCTCAGTGCTGGCCAGCAAGAGCAAGTCGGCCTGCATAAGGGGCAGTGTTGTGGGAGGGGATGGAAGACAAGCAGGAGAGGCCGGGTGGCCCTCCCCGGGGTGGGGAGGGGCGGGTGCTCACAGGGAGAGGCACGCTGGGGCGGGAGATGCCAGCTCACCGGGACTATGCTGTCCTTGCTGAGACGGATCACGTCTCCTACACACAGATTCTTCCATTCTTGCCAAACGAAGCTGCAGAAAGCGGGGCGTGAGAGGTGGGCCCCCCGTCACCCCCACCGAGCCCAAGAAGGTCTCGAGGGGCCATAGCTGGGTTGGGGGCACTTGGCTTCCCGGAGTCCCCACCAGCCCTAGGCCTTTACTCCTGCTGGGTCCCACCCATTTGGCAGCCTGAAAGGCCAGCTCGGTTGCTGCCTCCCCCAGGAAGCCTTCCCTGACCTCCCACCTCCATCCTGGGGGGTCCACACTCCTGCCCAGGGACCTCCATGGTCCCGCACCCAAGTCCTCTTCAGACTCTAATCTCTGCCAGGGTTAACAATCGGTGGCAGGCGTCTAATAAATGCGGGCCTGGGTTCCCACCAGACTCAGCTAGGAAACCGGGGGCATGAAAGGTGACAGACTCTCTGCCCCACCGCTGGCCACTGGCCTCACCTCTTCCCCACGAGGACCTGGCAGGGCCTGCTGTTGATGGCTCTGTCGCTCCTGTGCCGGCCCTGGGCCACGAAGGAGCAGGTCAGAGGGACCAGCCTGCCTCTCCCAACGCCGCCCCGTGCCCACCCCCAGGCGGCTCCCCCGGCCCCACTCACAATGTCATCCACCAGGTCGCGGGTGGCACGGATGACGATGAGGCAGACCAGGGGGGCGAAGAGAGTGAACCAGGGCAGCGTGGAGATCTCGGGGATGCCCTGCCGTGGGTGGAGTGGGTCATACCGGCCAGCCAGGAGGGCTGACCCCTCCCTGTCCTTCTGGGGGCCTCCCCTGCCCTGCCACCCAGCAATCCTGGCCCTGCACCCCACATCGCTGAGTCCTTCCCCCTGCCCTGTCCCCCAGCAAACTCCTCTTCTTCCTGGCCCAGCTCCTGCGCCACCTCCTCCGGGGAGCCCCCCAAGCCCTGGCCTCACTGCTCCTGGGGTCTTCCTTGAGGTGTGAGCACCATCACCACACCCCAGGGCCTGGCCTCAGGCTTAATGGACGCGAATGGGAGGTTCCCTGGCCATATGCCCATCCCCGGACACCGCCCCGGACCACTGCTCTGGACCCCTCCTTCCTCCTCCGCACCCATCGAGGTCCGCTTGGCAGACAGGGGCTGGGGGCAGTGGTGTGACCAGGGCTGTCCAGGCTGGGAAGGGGCTGTGTCCAGCAGGTGCCAGTGGGGCACGAAGAGGCCGCCCTCCTCGGAGCTGGAGGGTCTGTTCATCCACTTTCATCATTCAACACATATTGAGCGCCTCCTGTGTGCCAGGCCCTGGCCCGGGCAGTGGGGACCCAGCAGTGAGGGTCTGTGGGGAGCGGGGCATTGACCCACTCATCACACAGACAAATACGCAAAGTCACCCAGGTGGTCAGGGAGGGCTTCCTGGACGAGGTGATACTCCCACCATGGCTCCGGAGGATGACTCGGCCGGGAGGGGAGCAGGGAGAGGAAGTGGCGTGGGCGCCACGCAGGGACCCCCCACCTGCAGGATGATGATGAGAAGGAAGTACACATTGGACACGTGGTGGAATTGCTCGTACAGGTTCCATGGCAGGAAGGAGAAGAAGTTGTACTTGGCTGTGCGGATGACATTGGTCTGGAACGAGAGCCGCTGGTGCTTGGCACGGGGGCACAAGGCTGGCCCTTCCCCACCCCGGCCCCCACTGGGTAAGTATCTGCTGGGCCAGAGTTTATCGAACACCTGCTGAATGCAAGGTCTTGGAGCCAGGATTATTTATCTACTGAATGCAAAGCCATGAGCCAGCGTTTACTGAGTGCCTACTGTGTGCAAAGACTCACTGAGCTGGGACCCCCAAGGGAGACACCAGGAGGGATTTGGGGTGGGGATGCTGACAGACACCCTGTCCTTTAAGATGCACCGGGACGGGGCAAAGGAGACGTAACTTCCCCATGCGAGAGGTGAGGTGAGCACGGGCAGGCGCCACGGTCCTCACTGTGCAAGTAGCACCATGGAACAAACGCAAGGCCAAGTGCCGAGGCCGAGCCTGGTGGCTCTGGGGGTGCGTGAGGGGCTGCCCACCTTGTACTTCTGCCTGTGCCAGCACAGAAACACCTTCTCCTTGAACTGCCAGTTGTAGGCCTGGTTGTTGGCCTTTACATCCCAGGTGAAAGCTGCAGCGAGGGCAGAGCCGGGTGTCGCTGGAGCGCCAGGCCCAGGACAAACACCTCCTAATGACACCCTGAGGGAGGGCTCACGGGGCCCAGGGAACCCAGGCGCTGGGGATGCCCAGCTCGTGGCCAGAGACGCGAGCCCATAAACAAACAGGAGGGGCCCGCCCGGCCCCTGCACATAATAGGTGGGTCTGAAGACACCCCCTCGCCCAGCTGTGGGCCAGTCCCTAGACAGAGAGGACAGATCCTGGGAGACCCACTGAAGTCCCCTCGTTTTGCAGACGGGGTGAACTGAGGCCCGGTGATGGGCTCTGGGGTGACCAAGGCCACACACGCAGCCTGGGCAGCCCCTGTATCCTGACCACTTGTAACCACGCGGGAACCCCAGGCAAGGCCTCTCATGCGGGTTTGGGGGTGGCCTCCCTGTCCCCTCCCTCCTCCCTCCCGCCCACATCCCACCCTCAGTCCAAGATATGCACCTGTGTTCTCGTTACCATCTTGGAAATCTTCTCCATGGCTAAGACTGCCCATGCCGGCGGGGCTGCCGGGGGGAGGGGGGGAGAGGGACCCCTGGTCACATGGGTGGCCCCAGCCCTGGCCAGAGGGACGCCGTCCACTCATGGCCTGGGGGTCAACCCTAGCAAATGTCACCTCCCACACCCATCCGCTGCCCCCTCCCTGGGCTCAGAAGGTCCAGCCACTGGCTGTGCGTCCTGCCCTGCCTGGACACCCTCAGACGCAGGGGTCCCGAGCTGATCCCCAAACCTGCAGCAGTGCTGGATACACGAACCTCTGGCCACTGCTCCCACTGCCCAGCTCAGCCTGGTTTCACTGCAGCCCTCCCGCCCTCCGCGCCAGCACCCAGCTGTTGCCGAATGAGCCCTGGGGTGAGTGACGTATTATCCCAGGGGCAAGCTGCTCTGACAGGTCTGAGTGTGGCCTCGGAGTTGCTAGGGGCAGGGGACTGTGACCTGGGAGGGAACCTTCTCCACTAACAGGTTCAGGAATTTGAGTCCAGCTCTGCAGCAGGGCGGCCCTGGGCAGCTCCCCTGCGCGCCGCCAGCACCCCAACAGCACCCTCCTGGCCAGGCCCCCGGCCAGGCTGTTTCCTCTGCCTGGCCATGTCCTCACCCTTGGGTCTCAGTTCATACTTCCCAGCCCGGCCAGGCTGGGCCTTGCGCCCCCGCTGGGCGCCCCTCCTGCCCCCGGTGTCCCCCATCCCAGCTCCGGAGGCCTCCGCTCCTCCACCTCTCTCCGTCTGGTCGCCTGCGGAAGCCCGAGCGCCCAGGGCGGTGTCTGAGTCACCGGTGTCCCCGGGGCCCGCGCCCATTCGGCAGATGAGGGAAACTGAGGCTCGTCGGCGGGAAAGGGCGAGGTCGCGCTGTGGAGGGGAGGCTGGGGCTGGCGTCCGGGGCAGAGACAGCGGCGGTCCTCGCCTCTGTTCCGCCCCCGCTGGTCCGACCAGAACCCTTTTCGCGGAGGCCCCCAGCGCCCCGCACCCTCCCGGGCCCGACACACGAACCTCGAGGGGGCGCTCTCTCCGCCGCCGCTGCGATCCCGCAGCCCTCAACCGGGGCGGAGCCCAGAGAGGGTGCGCGGGCGCCCGGGGACGCACAGCAATGGGGACGCCCCCGCTCACCTGTGCCGGCTGGGGCGGGCGGAGCCGGGCTTCCTGGGACGGGCCGGGAGGGGCCGGGCTGGCTGGGGCCGGCCGCGGGTGTCCAGGGCGGCGGGCGTGGTGCGGCCGTTAGGACGGTTGGTCAGGTGCCAATCGCCTTGAAACGCGCGGCGCGGGCCAGGGGCGGGGCCAGGGCGGAAGGCGGGGCCAGAGAGCCTGCAGAACAGGCCGGGTGGGGCGGGGCCAAGAGAAGCCTTGCAGAAAGGGCGCGGCGCGGGCCAGGGGCGGGGCCAGGGCGGAAGGCGGGGCCAGAGAGCCTTGCAGAACCGGCCTGGGTGGGGGCGGGGCCAAGGTAGGGGTGGGTCCCAGCGTGGTAGGCGGGGCCGAGGCAGACGGTGGGGCGGGGTCAGTTTGGGGGCGTGGCCTGGGTAGACGGAGCGCGGGGCCGGGCGAGGGGCGGGGCCAAGGTAGGAGGCGGGGACGAGAGGAACTGCGGAACGCGCCCGAGTGTGACGGGGACTCGGGGGCGGGGCCAGGATAGGGATGATCCGAGCCTCTGGGGCGGGGCCACGGTAGAAGGCGTGGCCAGACGGGGCTTTCCTGAGCAAGGTCAGGGTGGGGACTTGGGGGCCGGGCCAGAGCAGGAGGCGGGGACTGGGGGAGCTCTGTGGAGCGGCAGGGCAGGACGGGGGCCTGCAGGGAGCTGGGGGTGTCAGGGCAGGGCTGGGTGGAGCAGGGGGCTGCAGGGCAGGGGTTCAGGGGTTCAGGGGTCTTGTAAAGCAGGGCCTGGGAAGACTCTGGTCAGGCCGGGAAGGCATCGCAGACTGGCCGGAGCGGAGGTCGGCAGGGCAGCGTGGGGTCAGGGAGGAAGGATGCGCAAGTAATCGCAGGTACGAGGGGTGTGTGTTTGGTCCATGCACCTGGATCTATCGCTCATCCATCCCATACGTGTTAGACAAGCACCTGCTAAGTGCAGGTGCAGTGCTGGGTTCCAGGCTGGGGTTACAGCCTTTGAGCCCGTCCCAAGACCAGGGGGAAGCCCACCAGGTCCTGTCCAGAGCGGCACCCACTCAGCTGGCCGGGGTCGGGGGAAGGCCTTCCCCTCCAGAAATCTGTGCTCAAGCATCTGACTTGGGCCCCCAGGTGCTGGGGCTGAGGGTTCCTCAGCATCTCTGTTCCATGAAGCTCTTCAGCTTGGCTTTTTCTTTTTCCTTTCCTCTTTCCTTCTTTCTTCCTTTGAGACAGGGTCTCACTCTGTCACCCCGGCTGGAGTGCAGTGGCATCATCATAGCTCATTGCAGCCTCCAACTCCTGGGCTCAAGTGATCCTCCTGCCTCAACCTCCTGAGCAGCTGGGACCACAGGTGCCCAACACCACACCAGCCAGCGTTTATACTTTAAATGGAAATTGAAGGCCTGAGCACCCCTGAGCCTCCCCCCACCAAGCCAGAACAATTCACAAATGGGGGCCGATTCAGCTGAGGTTACCTGGGGCTATGCGTGCACTGCAAACTTTATGGCTTTTGTTGACAGGGTGACAGGCAGCTCTTGGTAGGCTGGGATCCCCACCCCTTCCCTGGGACATGCAACACGAAGCTGCCCTCCTGGTCTCCTTAAGCCCCTTGGACAGTCTCTGGGCACCCCTATCCCCTCCGTGAGAGAGGCTAACTCCATTCCCAGGGCCCAGCCCAGCGCACCTCACACCCTGTACGGGGGACACCACCAACCATCCCTCAGAGAGGGGCTGGAAGCTGACAGGCTGCAGAGGTGCAGCCACTCAGGGCTTCAAGCTGGTTTTATGAAGGTGAACAAGGTTCCATTTGCTTCCCTACATTGGCAGAGAAGAGGGGGTCCTGGCCACGGGGACAGTGGCCTCCACAGGGCATGTCTCACCTGACACCAAGACCACCACCACAGCAGTGAAATCTAAAATCCATACAAACATTTATTCAGTCCCTGCCCAGGAGTAGGGGGAGGAGGGATATGGGAGCCCCACAGAAGAGGATGGGGCTCTGAGGGAAGACAGTGTCCGAGGTTGCAGGCCCTGGGGCCTGGCTTGGTTCTCAGAGGTTGTAGAGGTCTGGGTGGGCGGGTGGTGGCCAGTTTGGAAGCCAGCCACCTGAAGGCAGACCTGGCCCTCTGGGGCCCAGGGGTCCACACCCACGCTGGGCCAGGATCTGGCTCACATCCACCCCCAGCCCTCAGCAGGGAAGGCAGCAGTGGGCCTGTGTCCCCCAGGGGGGGTTGGGATGGCCACTGAGTAAATTGTCAGGTTTAAATTAAAAATAATAAAAATAACAATAAAAAATAAAAAAAAAAACATTGCCTGTCTCAAACAAACCAAGACAACACCCTGCCCGCCCACCCCCACCATGCCATGTAAGGAGGATGGGATTGGGACCTGGCTGGGGGTGCTGGGAGGGGCTGGCGGGCACGGGCGGGGCCAGTTGGGTGAGCAGCAGTCTCAGAGGGGCAGAGGTCTGGGGACGGGGAGGAGGGACAGGTGAGAGGGACCATGGCAGGGTCAGGCCTCCAGGGTTGGTTGTTCTCTCGTGCCGCCAGCTAGTCCTATCTCTCAGTTTGCACTGTCTGGCGAGGGTTAGCTCTCGAGATTTATTGCACTGTTTTGGAAGAGGCCTGGGGCTAAGGATGGGCCGGGGCAGCAGGAGAGGCGGGCAGGTGGCGGGCGGGCGGGAGTCATCGCTTGGTCTTGGCGTCTTCTCGGACCTTCCAGATCACCAGGTGCATGCAGGCGCCGGCATCCTCACTGGAGCTGTGCCCATCCACTGAGGGGCAGACACAGTCACCACCCTGCCCTGTCCAAGGGACGACGGCCCCACGCTGGAGCTGTGTCCGTCCACTAGAGACAGACACAGTCACCACTCTGCCTGGCCTGGGGGCCACACTTACCGTTGTCCTGGATGATCTGTCTGAGGTAGTCGGCCATGAGGTTCCGCAGGGAACGCTTGTACGGGAGGCCCAGGCGGTGGGGGAAGAGCACGGATGTGTCCACCACGGTGCTGTGGATGACCTGGGGGCGGTGGGTACTGCTTAGGGCTGCCTCAGGACCAGGGGCAGCACTGCCACTGAGACAAGGGGCCTGCAGCCACTTGGGAGCGGGGTGGGCAGGGGCTACCTTCAAGGCCAGCAGGTCGCTCTCCAGACTATGTCCGATGAGGATGGTGTCTGCGCTGAACATGCTCAGCAGGACGGCCTGGACATCGCGCAGCGTGATGCTTGTGTCCGCAAGGTCAGCCTCTGTCACCCCCGAAAACCTGGCACAGGAGACCAGGTGCCATCAGAGCCCAGCCTAGAAGGTGGGGCTGGTGGGGCCGACCCCAGCGGGGAGCGGTTCTGGTGGGGGGGGGTCCCCAGCTCCCAAGAGCAGGGCCCAGGGCTGCACCTAGTGTTATAGTCGACGATCTCGTTGTCAGGCTTGACGAAGGTGTCGTAAACCACCTGCATCTCTGTGTTGACCACCGTCACGCGGGTCAGCTCCAGGCCATACGTTGTGTAAGACTGGGGGTGGGAAGGGACGGGCTGAGACACTGCCTCAGACATGCCTGGTCCCTCCAGACCTGTCAGCCCTATGCACGGACTCCCTTCCCTGCCCTAGCACCTGAGGCCAAGGGCCCAAGTCACGTGTTGAAGACAGGCCTCAGGTCCCCAGAGCTTGGTGGGGCAGAGGCAGGAGCACCCACTTACAGACATGGTACCTTTGAGGGAGGGTGGAACAGAGTGTGAACTTTGGGTCCCCCTTCCCAAAGCCCTCACTGCCCCCCAGCACAAGGGGGACTGAACTCGGTGGGCCCAGCTGTCCCTCACCCTAACCCTGCAGGGGGCCCTCAGTCCCCAGGGCCTTGAGCACCCAGTAAGAGCCGTCGTTGCCTGGGCAACCGTGGTGGCCGGGATGAAGAGACAGACTCACCATCTCACAGTCCAGGGCGAAGATGCCTGGGTGAGCGTCTTCTGAGAGTTCCTTCTCAAAGGTCTTCACGAAACCCTCGAGGCTTTCCTTCCGGCCGTCCTGCACATGTTGCTGGTGAGGGGGGATGGGCTGAGAGGCTGCAGTCTGGAGGTGACGGAGGCACAGCTCCATGCTCCCGGGGGATTTGAGGGGGAATCATCCTATTCACTCATCCCATTTGTGGATGAGAAAAGGGAGGCTTCGAGGGGCTGAGCTGGCAGGGAAGTCTGAGACTGGAGTTTGCCGAGATGACACGGGGGCTGGCCTCCCAGGACCCAGGACGGGGAAGCAAGTGGCCCAGGGAGCAGGGCCCTGAGGCCTGGGTGGGGCACGTGCTCCAGGGAAGATGTGGGGAAGGCTGGCTGGAGCTCCGTGGCTGGCACCCAAGTCTAGGACTCTGGTGTGTCCCAAGATGCCAGACTAACAAAGAGCAGGCAGAAGTCTGTCAAGACAGGGCAGAGAGGGCACTGGGGCCCTGGGACTTACCTTTGCGACCTGACAGCCAACAGCGCCAGTGGCAGCCGAGCAGCATGTGTACTGGGTCTCCCAGCCTCCTGCCACTGCAAGAGAGATGCGGTCAGGGCCTTGCCCGGCCTGCTCCCACGCCCCTGCGGCGTGGACAGGTAGGGGGCCCTGGGACAGCTCAGCCCGGCCTCACCTCGGTTCCGGCGGAGCCTCCCCCAGTGATAATAACACTCCTCATCGCGGACACAGCGGCCAGAGGAGGACACGAGGTACTCGGCGCCACAGCGGCAGCAGATTCTGCAGGAGGCTGTGGGACAGAGACCAACCGGGGGGCAAGAGGTGTCAGGCCAACACACAAGGCCCCCACAGCCCCTGCCCCGCCTGACCCCTGTGCCCACCCACCCAGGCTGTTCCCTCTGCCCAGACACACACCCTTCCCTGCACACACACCCTTTGCCCAAGCACAAGCGTGTGGGAAGGCCACTCACAGTCCTTGGGTTTCTTCTCCTCGGCCGTGAAGATGACAGCACCCCCCGGCCGCTCGGGGTGCGGGAAGGGGTAGCCATTCTCCTTGAGCTGGTCATCGGAGAGCAGGTATTCCTTCAGGCGATGATACAGGGCGGCCCCTGCAGACACACATGGGAGGCAGTCAGCCTGCTACCCAGGGACAGCCCCCAACGCGTGCGCAGCAGGGAAGGGGCTGTGCAGCCTCGAGGGCGGGCACTGGCTGCCAACTGCTGCCTCTGGTTCTAGGCTGCCTCAGCGGGAAGACAGGCTGGGCTGGGGCTCGGGACAGGGAGGGCCCGCCATGGGCCGCCACGCTGCGCTCCCAGCACCGGCCCTGCAGTGGCCAAGCCGGGCCTCACCTTTCAGGTCCTCCACCCTGGGGCTGCTGGAACGGCTGAGCGAGAAGCTGGTCTTGGCAGCCAACTTGCCCCCCAACACCACCTCGTGGGACACGACCCTCCGGCCGCTGGTTTCTGGGGGGCAGGGAGGAGTGAACTAGACTGGCTCAGACCCCTCGCCCACCCAGCCCGGCCGAGACAGCTCCCCACTGCCCCACAGAGTCACGTCTCAACCAGAACAGGAGAGACCCACAGGTGAGGGCCATGCCAAGCCAGGGGACCCAGGGCAGCCCCCTCCCATGGCTCTGCGGGACCCCCATGCCCTCCCTATGGGTGAAGCTTTCACCTCCTCAGAGGGGAAGGGGGAAAGGCTGGGAGTACTGGATGGTGAATCTAATTGCTTTCAGGGCTTTGTGCCGGCCGGGTCCGCTGGGCTGCGAAGCTCGCTTGGGGCCCCTCTGAGCGCCAGCGAGCTGCTAATGGAGGCAAGGGCAGCCAGGGAGGCAGAGCTGGCGCTCAGGACAGGCACCGGCTGATGGCTTAATGCACCCTCTCGAGAGGCAGTAATGAAACGCCTTAACCCCAACTCTTTCTTCCTCCCTGGAGCTTAATGCACATAGCACGTGGGGCCCCAGCCGCTCGCTTTGAAGAGGCCGCCAGCGGCTCCATTAGCAGGCACCCCCTTGGCTCTCGAGCCCCCAGCTTGCAAAAGAGGGTGGCTAATAGCGAGAAGAGGCCACTCGGAGGGTACCCGGGCCAACTCCATCTGCGACAGAAGCCTGAGCGCGGGGAGCCCACGCAGACCCCAGCCCACCCCCAGCTTCTGCAGTGCCTTTTGTCTGGGACTCTCGCGGGGCTCAGGGCTGCAGAGAGGCCCCAGAGGGTCCTTGTGGGGGAGCCTGCCGCACTGGCGGGAGGTGCAGGCTGGATCCTGTCTGTGTCCCACCCCAGCCTCTGCCCCGCTCTGACTCACTGTTGAGCCCAGGCACAGCACTAGGGACCAGGCCTCGCAGCTTCTTAAGGGTGTTCACAGCCACGTTCAGGTAGATGTTCTTGCTGGGGCTGCGGTCGTAGGCCACCTTCTCCTCGTTCAGCGCCTAGGGAGGACATGCTGGTGCTGGGAGCCCTGGCAGTAGGGTCACCAAGGGACCAGAGAGCTGCCAGGGCCGGGGCACCTGCATCTCACACAGGCAGCCCTGGGGCTGAGACACTAGGGCCAGGGAGATGTCTGATTGCCATCCCAGCCCCCCAGCCACGGGACATGGTGGCCCAGTGTACCCCCCCAACAACCAGACTGGCCCCAGGGCTCTCACCTTCTCCACGGCCTCCTGGTTGGAGGCACAGAACTTCAGACACTCCTCGATGAACAGGTTGAGATAGCGTTGGCGGATGACGGTGGGGACTTTGCCCCCAAATTCTTTTGGGATAATGGGTTTCTTTAAACTCTGAAGAACATAAAACCAGCACAGGGTGAGGCTCTGCTGGGTCCTCTACGGGTAGACGCTCGCTTATGACAGGAGGCATTTCTCAGGCGCACAGGGGAAGCCCTGCTGTGACCCAGGGCTGGAGCTGGTACTAAGGTACATGCTGGTGACATATCAGTCTGCCAGCTGGGAAACAGGTGCCACACCAAGGCGAGATGTGGACAACAGGGGAAACTGAGGGCGCGGGGGCGGGGGCATGTGGGAAGTTGTACTTTCTGTAAGCCTAAAATGGCTCTAAAAAGTAAAATCAGGCTGGTCATGGTGGCTCACGCCTGTAATCCCAGCACTCTGGGAGGCCGAGGTGGGAGGATCGCTTGAGGTCAGGAGTTCAAGACCAGCCTGAGCAAGAGTGAGACCCCCCCGTCTCTACTAAAAATAAAAAGAAATTATCTGGACAACTAAAAATAGAAAAATTAGCCAGGCATGGTAGTACACCTCTATAGTCCCAGCTACTTGGGACACTGAAGCAGGAGGATCCCTTAAGCCAAGGAGTGTGAGGTTGCTGTGAGCTAGGCTGACACCATGGTGGCCTCAAAAAAAAAAAAAAAAAAAAAAAAGTAAAATCTATTAATTAAAAACAAAACAAGGCCGGGTGCGGTGGCTCACACCTGTAATCCCACCACTCTGGGAGGCTGAAGCGGGAAGATCATTTGAGTCAGGAGTTAAGAGATCAGCCTGAGCAAGAGCGAGACCCCATCTCTACTAAAAATAGAAAGAAATTAGCTGTTTTTAATTTAAAAATCTAAAAAAATAAAATAAAATAAAATAAAAACAAGAAAAAATAAAAAACCAACAGAGAAGAGGAGGAGGGAGGAGATGAAGACAGCGCCGGTGCTCGTGTGGGACAGGGGGGAGCCTGAGGCTCGGGGCCTGGCCTGGTGGGAGGTACGTCGGGCAGGTGGGGGCGGTCACCTGTAAAGATGGGCTGTGAGCCACCCGCTTGGGGGTGACGGTGGTGGTGGTCTTGGATGCCATCCCGGAGAGTGTGCGCGTCTTCAGCGGCTGGCTGCCGGGCTCTGGGCCGTGGGAAGGCTGGCTGCTGCTGGCCGCGAGGGTCCTCTTGGCGCCTGTGGGGGCTGGCAGGGCACAGGGGGTGTGAGTGCAGGAAGAGAGAATGCCCATTACTGAGCTGCGGAGCACCAGGTAGCTGCGGTCGTTCAGGGTCAGCAGCACGTGCATCTCTGAGCGTAGGGGCACGGGCCGGGGCGTGGGGCTTGGGCTGTGGAATGACATTAGGCTCTATCTGCTTTCGGGCAAGTCCATCCAGACGGGGGAACAAAATCAGGCTGCAGAGCCCGGCTCAGGCAACGTTGCCGGCAGGGCAGTCCGGTGAGTGGCGAGGAGTGTGGCGGGCCTCTGCCACATGTTCCAGCCGCGGCTCCAAGGCATTGACGTCCAAGGGGGGAAGGCCCTGGCTCCTGGGCAAAGGACCAGAGGGTATGGGATGCCCCTGCGCATTGTGACCAGCGGCCTGCCCACGCTGCCTGTGTTCTGCCGCTCCTTTGATGAGGTCACAAACAAATGGTCTCCCGCCTGGGGGAAGGGCCAGCCAGTGGGGCTGTTTCCAGGGCTGGCCAGGTGGGGCAGCTGCACCCTGGTGTGCGTGTCTGTGTCCAGGTTGGGGGCTCCCACAGGCCCCCCAGGGAGGTAGCGAGCTGCCCGCCACACTAGACACGAGCCTCACACGGTGTGGAAGGTTCCCTGTCTCTCCTGGAAGGAGGCAGGAAGCGCTATGGGATCCTCGCAGCCCAGGTCAGTGTCCCCGTCCCCGAGGTGCCCCCCTGGCAGTGTGGGAATGCCAGACTTCCTCCAGGCTGTGGCACCCCAAACCTGCACTGTGACAACTCCGTCACCCACCACTGGCTGTACATCGACATCCCCAAGTGCAGAAGATACAGACTTGGGAAAGGGTGGGGTGTCTTGGGCTGGACGCAATCCAGTCATTTCCCTTCCCCTGCTGCCAACCCCCTGCTGAAATCTCCCCCACATCTCTGGTTGTCAAGTGGCTCTGGGTGGGAGATGACCAGCATCACTCAGAGGGCTCTTTTTTCTTAAAATTGGGTTTCACTCTGTCACCCAGGCTGGAGTGCAGTGGCGTCATCACAGCTGACCGCAGCCTCCATCCAACTCCTGGGCTGAAGCGATACTCCTGCCTCAGCCTCCCGAGTAGCTGGGACTACAGGAGCTGGGGCTGGATTACAGCTTTAGCCACACACCCAGCCGCCACCACACCCAGCCCAGAAGGCTGAGACCAGAGGGTTGCAGGACCAGTGCCAGGAAAGGGAACGGGGAACTTTGACCCGGCTACTCCAGGGTCTCTGAACCAGCAGCAAGGACCTTCCCAGGGCTGGTTAGATCCGGGACACCCTCTGCAGCCCCACGCCACCATCTGTGCTGTCAAGGGCCCCTAGGTGATTCTCACCTGTAACCTGCCTTGATACGGAGACGGACAGAAGACAGGACCACCACCCCACTGCACATCCTGCCCATCCCTACCGCCGAGGCGTGGCGGGACTTCCAGATCAACAAGGCAAAGGCGGGGATGTGGCCTCAGAGTACAGGAAATATAGCCCCACCCCAGGGCACATCAGCTGGCCCATTCTAACAGAGGCCACACCCGCTCACACCCTTCCAGCCAGAAGCCACACCTGGGCTGGGGCCTGGCCCACCTGCCCTGCCCACCCTGGGCTCAAGCCAGCTGCTTGTGCTCCAAGCAGCCCCTCCAGCAACCCAGTGGTTGGAAGAAGTGGGAAGCAGCTGAGGAAAGACAGCCCAGGCCTCCTTCAGCCCCCTGCACAGACAGGCACACTGGGGACCTCAAGAAGGGCTCAGGGCAGCCCAGCGGCTGGGACTCACCTGTGGCCAGACGGGGGTTGGGGACGTGGGCGATCCTCTTCTTCTCGCCAGGTGCGGAGATGTGGACCGAGGAGGGCTTCTCCACCAGCTTGGGGGCGGCCTGCAGCCAGCTGGCTGACTCCCTTTGCGCCTGCTGAGCCCGCAGGTAGCACACCTCCTGGGCAGTCGGGGGCCGGGCGGGGGGCACCGCTGTACCTCTCCTCGGAGGCTCTGCCTGGATGATACCAGCCTGTCTGCGCACCTGGCACACCCAGAGTACGCAGTCCTGTGCAGAGGACTGGGGGGGCTGCTGGAGGGCCGGGGGGACCGCCTCCCTTGTCACCTCCCGAGCTCTGGGATGCCCTGGCGGGAACCAGCACGACGCTGTGGCCCTCAAACTCATGCCACCTTCCCTCCTGGAGCGCCTGTTGGGGCCCTGCTCTGCTGACTCCTAGCTTCTGAGTGCTCAGGCTGAGCTCTGGGACTTGATATAGGCCCGGGGTGGGTGGGACGGCCCCACCCTGATTGGGCTGGCACTTTAATCCTATCTCACCTAAATAATCCGCCAAATCCAGCTTCCGACTCTCCTGCTCCCTGGCAGGGTCTGGTGATAGGATCAGCCAGGACCCCTGGCTGCTAACCTCAGAGCCAGGTTCTCTGCTCTTCCTGTGCCAACTCATGGTCACTGATAGCAGCCCTACAACCACTGTTGTCTCCGGACCACAGGGGGAAACCGAGGCTCAGAGGTTGGGTCGCTTGGCCAGGCCCACATAACACACCCGGAGCCAGGACCTGGGCCCCGGCAGCCTGCTGTGCACTGAAGGGCAGGGTGGCTCTGGGGCAGGACAACGCGAGGGCGGGAAGTGGGCAGGACCTGCTTCTCCCCCAGGACACAGCAGTGCTGAACCTGAGGAGTCTTCAAAAAGTTCATGGAAAACGCATGTTATGAAAAAACAATGTGTGGGTTTCAAAATTATTTTGTACCAAAATAAACTTGTACTAACTTGTTATAACACATCAGAACTGGATCTAGCCCGAGGCACTAAGGAGGGTAAGACATTGGTTTGAAAAGAGCCGCTGACAGAGCAATGTGAGTTCTGCTAAAATTGAAGCAAGAACGAACACTGAATTTATGGTGAAGCTTGGCTGGGAGAAGGGTGAAATACCCAAAGAAATCAGTAGTTTACAAATGGATGACTTGTTTTAAGAAAGGACATGGCTGGGTGTGGCGGCTCACGCCTGTGATCCCAGCACTTTGGGAGGCTGAGGTGGGAGGATCGCTTGAGCCTGGGGGTCTTGGGTTGCAGTGAGCTGTGATGAAGCCACTGCACTCCAGCTGGGGCCACAAAGCAAAGCCATGTCTCAGAAAAAAAAAAAAAAAGATGAGACCAAGACCACGTAGAAGACGGAGACCACAGCCACTTTTTCGAGAAAAATGAATCTTGTTTGGGCCCTAATGGAAGGGGACTAACAACTGACAGCGGAAACAGCCGACACCGCAGACGTCGCCACGGGCTCAATGTGTGCAATTCTGATGGGGAGATGAAAGTTGAGCAAACATCCCACTCGGTGGGCGCCAAAACCACTGTGCCCAGAGGAGCTGCAGATGAGAGCAGACCTTGCCACAGAAATTTTAAACAAGCAGGACCAAGATCCCAAAGCGATTTTTCTGAGTGCTGTCACAGGAGATGGAACCTGGCTGTCACAGGACCACCCTGAAGACAAAGCACAAAGCCATGAAGCGGCAGAGACCCAGGGCCGGCCGCAGTGCAGTCGGAGAAGCGGACCAGTGGAAGCGGAGGTCCTGGCACTTGGGGATGCCCAAGCGTTCTCCTTGTTGACTTTCTGGGGGACCAGAGCACATGCCATCGGCTAACTGGAGAGGGCTGAGAAAATTGGATGCGTGAGCAGAAGAGCGCCTGGGAAAGCCTCAGGGCCCCCCCCACTCTGCTCATCAAACAAGGCGATTTTGCGAGAGTTCCGATGGCCAATCACCAGGCCTCCCCCCAAAGACCTCATGGGGCTCCTTGTGACTTTTTGTGTCCTAACCTTTAAAAACATCCTTAAAGGGCACCCGTTTCTCTTCAGTTGACAATGTAACAAAGATTGCACTGACGTGGTCAAATTCCCAGAACCCTCTGTTCTTTTGGAATTGGACCACGTGGCTGGTGTCATCCCATACCATACTGTCTGGATATGATGCTGAGGAATAAAGTTTACATTTTTATTTTTATCTTTAGAGTGCGTTCTTCCACGAACTTTTTGAAATCCCCTCGTACGAGTTTGCCGAACGACTCCACCAGCAAGTGGGCAAGGGGCCCTTGTTTGTGTGGGAGGGGGCAGGGCGGATGGGGCCCCGGCCCCCCAACTCACACCCTACCAGCCCCCACAGGCCCTTACCTCCTTGCCTTGCCTGGAGAGATGAGAGATCCGCCTCTTCTGCCCGGGGAACAGGGTGGTCAGACCCAAGTGCGCCTTCTCCTCGCTGCTTTCTTCCTTGGGGGGCTACAACACACGTCCCTTCCTCAAAGTGGGTCTCCCCTGTGCTTCACCAGCCCCCAGCACCAACACGCACCCTCTCTCCTCTGCCCTGGCCTCAAACTGCCTGCTGGCAAGTGGAAGATGGAACGTTGCAGGCCCCAAGACATGGAGGCTGAGGCAGGAACGGGCCAACATGCCCCTGGGGGGCGGGGGGCCGGCCCTGTCTTGTAGATGAAGACACCCAGACCAGCACCCCACAGCCCCTCCCAGGCTCACAAGTTCTGCCCACGTGTCCAGGGCCCTCAGTGGGAGGCTGGGGAGCTGAGCCCTCCCACCACTCAGGCAGGGGCCTGGCCCGCCCGGCTGTTACTTTGAGGCGAGCTCCCTCTGGTGGCTGACGTACGGACACCGGACAAGGGCACCAGCCTGGTCAAGGCTGGCCCAGGAGAGCCAGAGCTCTGACCCACCAGGGGGAGCAGGGGACAGAGAGGGAAGGGAGCGGGGAGGGGAGCGAACCTGGGGGGAGGCTGGGGGGGTTGGGGCAGGGAGGGGCTTGGAGGAGGGGAGGCTGGGGGTTGGGTGGGGGCCTGATACCCCTTTGCCGGTCAGTCGGAACGGGTCAGTCTGAGCGCTGCTGCGGGAGCCTGGCCGGGCGGCTGTGAGCCAGCGTCCTCTTTCTGGACGGGTGCGGGGTGGCGGGCGGCCGCCGAGGGCTCCTGAGTTTTAAGCGAGTTAAGGGGCCAACACTGAAGGCGGCATCTCCACCCGGCGAGAGACCTGGAGTCATCTGGGAACAGGTCCAGGACGGGATGCCCCGCACCGGGCCCTGGCCGTGGCAGCCTGCCCTGGAGCCCAGCCTGGACGCCCGGCGCCCTCACCTGCCGGGCCAGCCGGCCCTTGTCCTCGGTCTTGACGCTGGTGGACTCGTTGAAGATCCGAAGGCACTCCTCCATGGGGTCTGAGTCGAAGTCCACCTCCTGCTCTAGGGCCGCGTAGTCTACCTCCTCCTCCACACCCTCCCCAGTGCCTGAGGAGGAGGAGGAGGAGGAGGAGGAGGAGGACCGGGCGGGGGAGGCAGGCAGGGAGGCCTTGAGCCGCTTGGGCAGCCCCTGTGCCTCCGAGAAGCCCAGGCTAGAGTCCGAGTCCGAGTCTGAGCTGAGGCTGGGCAGGGCGGGGGCCCAGACCCTCGGTGCCCCTGGCCTGACAACCTCGTCCTCACTCTCGTCCCCAAAGAGGTCAGCGTGGCTCAGGGCCCGCTTCTTCAGCTTGGGGGTATCCTGGGAGGCACCCTCATCCAACGAGCGGGCCTTGCGCTCCACCAGCTTCCCCGACGGGGCTTTCCCGCTGCCCTTCCTGTGCGGCAGCTGGTGGGAACCCGGGGCAGCTCTGCTGGCTGCCGGCCGGGAGTCCTGAGGCCGGGGGTCCCCACTGGAGGGGCTCGGCCGCCGCCCTGGCCTGTCGGGTTTCCCTTTCCCTGAGCTGGCCACCGGGGTGGCTGAAGATGGCTTTTTCTTGGTCCCTTCTGGCCGTCCTGCCTCGTGCCGGGGGCTGCTGGCCTGCGAGCCCTTCCTGTCCACGGGGCCCTTCTCCCCAGGCCGCCCTCGGCCTTTGTCCTTGGTCTTGTCTTTCTTCCGGGCACCATCCTTGTGGCCCAGGGCTGCTGGGGTTCCACTCTTCTTCCTCTTGGGTTTTCCTTCCTGGGGGCAGCCCTGATCCTGTGAAGCCCTGGCTGGGGAGGTGGGCTTGGCTACAGGCACCCCACCTGGGCTCTTCGGGGGTGGCCCAAGGTCCCCCACGTCACACTGCACGGCCGTCTCCTTGGTCTCCCGCAGGCCACCCACCTCGGCCTCCAGGCCCTCCTTGCAGGACAGCTGCCCGGGGGCCTTGCTCTCGGGGCCAGCATCAGTTTTGGGGGGGCTAGCCGTGGCAGGCCCATCACCCGGAGCCACGGTGGCATCATCTTCCGAGTCGGAGAACCTGGCGTCACAGCCGCCAAAGGGGTCACAGGGCTTCTTGAGGGCGGGTGTGTAGGGCTCGCTGCCACGGGACCCCCTGGGCCGCTTGGTGGCCCTCTCGTCCCTGGAGCTGGCCCTGCTGAGGTGCCGGGCCGAGTAGTTGGAGAGCGGGTCGTACTCCAGGTCGGTGGATGGCTTGGAGTTGTCCACCACGTACTTGCCACTGGGGACGGGGCGGCTGTGCCGTCGGGGCTGGCTCACGGCCTTGGGCACGTACTCCAGGGCGCCACCGCCCCCACTGCCTCGGCCCGGGCCCCTCTCCAGGGACGCCAGTGAGTATTTGCTGCCAGGCTCAGCGGGAGCGGCCAGCGGGGTGGGCTGGTAGCCGGTGTCGGAGTTTAACAGGCCGCAGACGCTGGGATTGTAGTCGAAGGCCAGCGGGAAGGCATCCTCGTCCAGGCCCTCGGCGGGGCTGGCAGCGGGGCCGCGGGGCACGAGGGTGGGCGCCTCGCCAGAGCTGTACTCCCGGGCTGTCTCCAGCAGTTCCACTTCGCTCCGCACAGCCTCAATGGCCTGGTTGACCCGCTCCAGCTCCAGCACGTCTGAGCGCGGCTCGTCCCTGCAGCCCAGGGTGCCATTCTCCCTTTGTTCGGGGGGCTTGGGCAGCTCGGGGTTGTAGGGGTCATAACACAGCCCTGAAAGGGAAGAGGAAAACAGGCAGTGAGCAGCCCGAAGAGCCCGTCATGTGGGCATGCCCACGTTCTAACCCCGGAGCCTGTGGACATGTCACCTTCTACAGCAAAAGCGACCCTGTGGATGGGATTAAGCCTCCCTTGCTGATGGCCACAGACAGACTGAGCTTTCTGGAGGGCAGATTTGTACCAACCTCGAGCAGTCCCAATGTCGTGACCCTCAGACTCAGGATTCTAAGAGCCCACCCCCCGGACATCCCCGCACAGAGGCAGGTGTCCCTGCTGCAGCACCCGGAGAAAATTGTAATAATAATAAAGGAAATGCCCTAAAAACCCACGTGCAGGTCAACTGGGTTGGAAGTTGGAAGGGACGGCATGCCGCATAGCCACCTCCATGCTCCATGGCTACACAGGAAACAAAAAGCCAGCTGAGGTGGGGGTGTCGGAGAACACATGCTGTACGTTCTCATCTTTGAGAAGCGTCCCCATAAATGCCACGAAATCAGCGATTCGAACATGGGTCCCGCCCACAAGCAGAGGGCCCCTCTGGGCAGCGACTACGACCCTGTCCTAACGTGCAACATACACAATGCCAACAGCCACTCGGGATTCGAGATGCGGACAGACACACAGCCAGGAGCTGACGGAGCAGCCGGACAGGAAACCACGTAGCCAAATGCAAACAGGCGGCCGCCTGTGAATCTGCCAGTGCCAAGACACCACCCCGTTCCAACCCGATCGTTCCAACTTGATTCTGGGTTAGAATGTGTGTTATCGCCGTATTTACTGTCATGAGTGTGTGGTCTGTCTGCAAAACCTGGGAGCCCTCTGGCCCACCGGCAACCCCCCTTCTAGGGCCTAGAGACCTGCCCCACAGGGTACTCAGACATGTGTGCACAGAAATGGTTAGACGTAGGGCCAGAGAGGCGTGTATGAGGCTCTTGTGCTGTTTGAGAACAGCAACAGAACAGGAGACTTCCTCCAGGTCCGCGCCCAATGTCCTCACACAAGGGGACAGGAGGGTCGGAGGCAGAGAGACTGGAAGACGCTGCGCTGCTGGCTCTGAAGGGGGAGGAAGGGCCCCAGGCAGAGGGGCGCAGGTGGCCGACAGATGCTGGGAAAGGCGGGAGACGAGTTCTCCCCAGGAGCCCCAGGAGGGACCAGCCCAGTGAGACCATGTCAGACTCTGACCCCAGAACTGTGAGGGAATACACGTGCTGTCCTAACACACATTTGCCACACGCCAGTTGGTGGCGATTAGCTAGAGCACCTGCAGGAAACTCACGCAGCGCCAGGCAGTGACTAAAAACACGACAGGAAGCCGCAGAGCTGGCCGCCCTTTCACGAGGAGGCGGGATGGACCGTCCTGTTCCTGGCATGTGTGGAAGGGGACCCTGCAGGTTCAGTGCTCAGGCCTGGGGATACGCAGCGAGGGGAGGAGTCCATCGTGGGCCTGCTATTTTGCTCTTACCTCGAAACCACGCGAGTGCTGTACCCACTTCTAAACTTATATTCATAAAGGAGAAAGGAAGTGTATGTCTGTGCTCTGGACCACTGGGAACGCCACAGGACTATGCGTGGGGCTGCAGCGTGGGGACGGGGAGGTAGGGACCACACAGCAACAGCCACAGATGCAGCAGTGACGGTGCCAGCGGCGGGGGCTCTCCTTCAGGCAGCACGGGCCAGAACGGTCATCTCAGCAGGGCTGCAGGTAGGCTGAGGACGCTGAGACCCTGACAGGGCTGGGGGCAGGGAGTGCAGCCCTCCCGCCTCTCCTGGAGAGGGACAGACGCAGGTTGGGAGGGCGCTACAGGCAGGGCAAGGGCTCCCCTCACAGCTGCCCACTGCGGGGGCGGGGGGGGGGGGCCCAGACCACCCCACCCCCGCCCTCCCCCAGATCCCGGAAGTCCTGGCTGCCTGGTGCAGGGGAGGGGCCGGGCCAAGGCCACCAGGCCAGTGAACTGGAGAGATGCGGGGGTGGGGGTGGGGGGGGCCCTTACTGGGCATGTCCACTGAGGGGGACAAGGCCGGGTCAGGGACGTGGGTCTCGCCCAGCCACTGGCTTCCCAAGGCTGCAGCTAACGCTGCTTCTGCGCTCACACCCTGCACCACAGGGCAGGGGCTGGGGAAGAGCCCACCCTGTGGCAGGCTGCAGTGAGATCTGAGGGTGGACAGTGCAGGAATCTGCTCCTTGCCTGACTCCCCCTCAGCCCTGAGACACACGGTGTGCAGGGACACAGCCTACTGGGCCAGCCCTGCCCACTGGGAAGACGACACCCTCCAGCCCTTCTCAGGGCAGAGGCCAGACTTCCAGACATTCGGGATTTTGAAAGGAGACATATCATTTCCCCCAAAAGGCACTTCTGGAAGGCAGGGTGCCCACCTCCCGAAGCAGGGCCAGACGCTGCAAAGGCCCTGAGGCCCCAGGCCACGTATCAGGGTCTGGGGAGGGGGCTTGTTTTCTAACCAGGAGCCTGTGTTGCCACGGGCTTGTTTTTAAGGGCAACTAAACCTGTTGCACCTCCAAGAAGGCTTCGCCAAGGGTGAAAGACGCCTTAGGTGGGCCTGAAGTGGTCAAGGTCGAGACCCCCCCCCCCCCCCCCCCGCCCAGTGATGCCTCCCCGTCCTGCAATTACCGGGCTCGGCCTTGCCCTGCAGCCTCAGTTTCCCACTGGGCTGTAAGGCAGCATCCTAGCTTGAGCTGCTCCAGGCAGGTATGGGAGCTTCAAGTGCACGTCCGCCAGGGGCTCAGAACTGGGTGCATGGGGTCCCTGAGCCCCTGCAAAGGCTACCTGAGGCCTGAGGGACAGGTGTGGAAGGTGCACGATGAGCGGGCATCCATGGCCACCCTGTACCCCCCTGGGCTGGGTCCTCTGGGGGACCTGTCAGGACAGGAGAGGCTCCCCAAGAGAGCCTGCCTGGGAGACATGTCCAAAGGTGGACTCTGAGGTGGAATGGCCCACCAGGTGGCACCCAACCCCCTGCCCCCACATCAGTGAAGCCACCTAGATGGACCCAGATGGAGCAGCCTTAGGGGTTTGGCCCAGGTGCAGCAAGTCTCAGGTGACTGCAGAAGCCCCTCAAAAGCATGGCTTGGGGAGTCCCCACTTCTTGTCTGGCCCAGGGCCAGGAAGGGGAGGGAGCCCCAGCCCAGCAGTGACCGGAGGGAGGAAAGGGTGCCTGCCCAGGCCGCCCCACTCAGGGTAGGACCTGGTGTCCCAGCCGTGCGTGGAATGAATGACCCAAAGATGGATAATGACAAGACAACTGAGCACGGAGACCCTTCCTGAACATCCAGAACATTCTCTCTTGTGGACCCTGACTGAGCCCCCTGCCTTCCCTCAGTCCATCCTCAAAACCACCCTATCCGTGCCAGCCCATTTCACAGATGGAGACACTGAGCCCCAGCCCCCTCCCACCAGGACAGAAGACAGGGCAGCCCTAGCCCCTTAGAGTGTGGACCACTGGCTCCCCAGCCCCTGCGGCAGCCACAGCACGCTGGCCCTGTAGGGCAGACACAGTCCCTGCCCACCCAGAGCTCAGCGCAGCCCCCTTGCAAGTGGAGACAGGAGCAGGACAGGGGAGCTCGGTATGAGGGAGGGGCAGCAGATGCCACGGGGCCAGCTCCACTGGGGCTCTCCTGGGAGGTGTGGTCCCCCAAAGCCCACCCGAGAGGAACACAGAGTGACACCCAGATCCCCACACGGGCCATCTGTCCACTCCAGGGGTCTGTGCTTCATGGTGGGATGTCCTCAAGCCCTGCTCTGGGACATCTAGGCGCCCAGGGCCCCTGGTGCACAACCCACTAGACGGACGAGGAACGAAGTACCCAGGCAAAGGGACCTGGTCACGCACACACTCTGCCCCCAGAGGAGAGAGCCCCACGCTGCCCCAGACATGTGGACTACACAGTGCAGGAGGCAGGGCCACGGGACAGTGCGGTGTCAGGCCCAGTGGAGATGGGGGTCTGGGCCCCACCACTCAGTGGCATTGAAGACCCTCCCCCAAACCCAAGGTGCTGGGTTCAGCGCCCCTCCTGGGGACAAGGTGCTGAGGCTGGGCTGTGCCTGGACAGTGCAGTGACAGGGCTCCAGGGCAGGCGGAGCTACACGGTGGGACCCAGAGAGGAACGGAAAGGCTCCTAGCCAGCTCTGGGACCCCCAGCTCAGCTCCCCGAGGGCCCTGGGCACACACAGCACACAGGCTGCACCAAGAGCTTGAAAGCATGAGGCTGGGCGACAGGGATGTCACAGGACAAGAGGTGGGCCACCTTTCGAAACCATGCAGAAATGCAGCAGTATAAACCGCAGAGAAAAAGACTGAGGGGGGCTGCACTGCTGGCAGGGGGCCAGGGCTGGGGCTAGAGGTGGCCTTTCCTCCCCTTTGCCCATCTCCACCCCCTGAACAGTCGCAGTGGGCACCAGCTGCGTTCATGCTCCAAGTGACAACTGCTCTCTCTCCCGGACCCAGGCCCAGCCCCCAGCTGTCACCCTGTCCACTGCTGCTTCCGAGTCCCCTCTGCCTGGTTGCACAGATACTTACTGAGTCCAGACTAACTGGAAAGGCCCTCAGAGGGGACCAGGCAAGCTCCTGGCTTTACAGTGGACACTGAGGCCGGGAGTGTGTGTCCAGCCCGAGGCTCAGGAAGCAGGAGGGCAGCCCCAAGAAACCCTGGCCTGTCCCTCACAGCATCTGTCGCAGGACAGGAGGAGCTCCCTCCGGAAGCTGGTTCCAGAACACCTCTGAGCACCTACAGGAAGCCCTCAACGGATCCCCTAAAGCTGCCAGCACACAGTGTCCACCTCAAACGGCACAGTGACCACACGAAGGCCCCCGAGGACTCAGGTGTTAGCAAAGGATGAGGAAAGATGACCAGAGACGCCTCCATGAGGCTTGGGGATCCCAGGAGTCTGCCCTGACAGGCTCCCTTGGACCCAGGAGTCTCCTTCAACACCGTTTATTTCCTTCCCAGGTGTTTTGAGACAGGGTCTTGCTCTGTCACT